CCTGTAATCCCAGCACTTTGGGAGGCCAAGGCGGGTGGATCACCTGAGGTCAGGAGTTTGAGACCAGCCTGGCCAACATGGCGAAACCCTGTCTGTACTAAAAATACAAAAATTAGCTGGGCGTGGTGGTGGGCGCCTGTAATCCCAGCTACTTGAGAAATTGAGGCATGTGAATCGCTTGAACCAGGGAAGTGGAGGTTGCAGTGAGCCGAGATTGCACCGCTGCACTCCAGCCTGGGCGACAGAGTGAGACTACGTCTCAAAAAACAAAACAAAACGAAACAAAAACCTGAGCTTGGGAGTAACTTGCCTCCCTGTGAAATGGGCTGGAACACTTAGGCCCTAAGGTTGTTCTCTCTTCCTACAGTTCCAGGTTCTAAAACTCCTAGTTCTTGTCAAATGGACCCCAGTTCACACTAGGGCATGAGAGGATAGGAGAGCGGCTGCTGGGAACAGCACAGGTGCAAGCCTGGGTGCCTAGCAAACAGAGGAAGCCCACCCTGGGGCTGCAGTTTGGGGTACACCCCTCCCTGGCAGGCCCTAGCATGGTCCTACAGGGAGCAAGAGCTCTGAAGGACCTTGCACAGCCCCCTCTTACCCTGGGTGCCTTCTTGTCCTTCCCCATTTCCTTCTCTTTCTTAGGTCAGGGATCCTCACCCCTGGATGTCCATCCCCTGGGAAGCTTTTTAAAACTCCTGATACCTAAGCCCTGCACCTAGATATTTGCATTTCATCAGTCTGGGGTGGGGGGCCTGGCAATAGTGTTTAGAAGCTCCCAAGTGGTTTTAATATGCAGCCAAAGTACAGCCCTAGCGCCCCTAGAGGCCCAGAGGGCTTCCTGCCACCAGCTCATGGGCACTGCCCTCCCCTAACCCCAACATCCCAAACTTCCTGTTTGTCAGGCCTAGACCAAGTGTGAAGGTGGCAGTCAAGGGCCGCCCACTCTTTCCCTGGCTTGCCCCGCCCCCCTCGCCACACTGGAGCAGGGCTGCCTCTGGGGCCTCCTGGCTGAAGAGTTTCACCTACCCCTAAATCCTCAAAAGTCCCAAGCCCCTCCATGCAGGTCCCTCTTCCTGAAATCCAACCTACCCCAGGAACTGCAAGGAGGCATTGCCTCGGAGCCCCCCGGCCAGCACTCGGGCTCCCGCGGCGGTGATGTGGTTATTCCCCAGCCTGGAAGGGAAGATAGAGGAGGCTGAGAGAACACAGCAGCAGCCAGAAGAGGAGGGCCATCTGTGCCCTGGCCAGGGACACACAGGAAGAAAGCATTGAGGACCTGCCTAGGAGGCAGCAGCCACAGCGGGTGCCCATGCCGCTCGGTCCAGTTTACTCAGCGGCTCCCACAACTTGGTTTTCCCCCAGCAAAGGGAAAGAGGCAGTGGGATGCTGTTTCGCACAGCAGTGTGACAAGTCCTGGCAGGAGCCACAGTAGGCAGCTGTCCTGGGAGGTGGTTTCCCTGGGACAGCAAGGATGACTCAGGGTCACACCTTTCCCTCCGGCCTCAGCCACCATCGATCCAGATCCCATCGTGCCCTCTGCAGCCTTCCCAGATCTGCTGTTGCTACAGGTAGGCTTTACCTGTTGCACAAGAGCCCTGGGCAGGTCCAGGTGGGTGGGAGAGAGGGGTGGGGCCCGCTGAGCCTTCCAGGAAGGAAGGAGAGAGGAAGGGCCAAGGCTAGGGATGGGGAAAGATCCCAGCAAGGAAGGATCCTGCTGCAACCAAATCCAGACACCTCGGAGAGCTTCGGAGAAGCCCCAGAGCTCTCACCTGCAACCCCAGGCTTCCTGGGATAACTATACGTCTTCATTCTTTTAAGGAACTTCAAGCTACTCAGCTTACAGCAATCCTATAAGGCAGATATTACTGTAGCCTTGGAGAAGGGGTGTGGCAGCTAGGAGAACTCGCCCTTCAGGTCTCCAGCCTCAGCTCCCTGGAGGTAGCCAAGGGCCCCAGCTGCTGTGCTCCAAAATCTAACATCCAGGTGTCTGCACTTGCCAGGCCCTGCCTGAGACATCAGGCTCCCCTGCCTGGTGAATTTGGTTCAAGAACTCCTCATCAGCCTTGCCAAGATGTCTTAGGACTGCACGGAAGTCTAAGGTGCCCCGTCTCAACCTTCCTTCCTTCCCTCTCTTCTTCACTCAGGGACACATCCCCCAGCCTCCCCCAGCTCCCTTCCCCATTTCCCCTCTTAGGACTTTTCCCCAATAAATGTGTGGCACATCGAATCCCTGCTTGGAGGACCGGACTCATATAAGGAGAAGCAAGCTGAGTGCTTGTGTAATTTACCCATCATCTTTCAGCCACTCGCTTACTATATAAAGCCCCTGCCAGACGGTGTAGCCCTTCATGTGGATTAACTCGCTTGCTCATCACTACAGCCTGTGAGGTAGCCATGGTTATTACCCCCATTCTACAGAAGGGGAAACGGAGGCACACAGACATCGGGCTGACCTGAGGTCATGCAGCTAATGAGGGTTCAGACCTCGGGCAGTCTGGCTCCAGAGCCTGTGCTCTCAATTACAATGATATACGGTAGTCTCCTCCCCCTGCTTATCCGCAGCTTCGCCTTCTATGGTTTCAGTTATCTGAATTCAACTGCAGTCCAAAAATATTAAATGGAAAATTCTAGAGAAAAACAATTCATACATTTTAAATTGCATGCTATTCTGATCACACGCCATCCGGCTCCATCCCACCCAGGACGTGAATCAGTCCCCCGTCCGGGGCATCCACGCTCTATACGCTCCCATTTGGTAGTCATCAAGATCATCTGCTCCTGACATCCAGCCGCCGACCTCATCGTTGCTCAAAGATTCAGGATCTCTGGGAGCAGATGATTCTCCTCCTGACGTGTGGTCAGGTCAACAGCAGCCCAGCGCTAGAGCACAGTGCTGCGTGCGTCATCCACCTCACTTCCTCCCATCACACAGGCATTTTACCACCACACATCTTCCCAAGAAGAAGGGTGAGTACAGTACAAGAAGATATTTTGAGGGAGACAGAGAAAGTCCATATTCATATAGTTTTTATTATAGTATATTGTTATAATTGTTCTATTTTATTATGAGTTGCTATTACTCTCTTACTGTGTCTAATTTATAAACTACACTTTATCACAGGTGTGTAGGCACAGGAAAAAGCATGGTATGTGTAAGGCTTGGTATTCTCCATGGTTTCAGGCATCCACTGGGGTCTTAGAATGTTTCTCCTGCACATAACAGAGGACTATTGTGTTGGCCACAAACTCAGCCTCCATTTCTGAAACTAGCACCCTTCTCAGGGATGGGCCAGCCAGGTCTGGCCACAGCCTATTCCAGGCTTGTGAGTCTGAGGGAGCAGGCAGTGGTAGCAGGACTGAGTCCTTTGTACAAATTGGCACCTGTGGTTCTGATCTCAGTAGCCCTCGCTGAGGCTGAGCTATGTGGCCCGCCATTTTAAGATGGCAGCTCCCATCCACAAACCCAGCCCAAGGGGTAAAAGAATAGATGGAGGCAATTCTTTACTTTGTCTTCTTTTACTGCCTCACAAATCACAGGAGGCAAGAATATCTGAGAGAGGGAAAGAGAGAGAAGCCAGGCCAACCCAGCAGCCAGCTAAAGGGGCGATTTAATGGCATCAGGCAGGAGACAGAGAGACTCCAGTTGAAACTGGGAAACACTGGAGCAGCAGAAATGCAGACCCAGATGGACTGCAAACCTTGCATGCTCTGAGTGGTGAAAGGACCCCCTGGGAGTGTTATAACAACTGGCTGCCACAGCTGGGGTGGCAACTAACTGTGTATGCCTTCCCCACCGGGACAAGCTCAACATGCATCGCGGAACTCAGTAACCCCAGAAAACTGTGACACTCTTAGACACAGAAAAAGAAAGGGGCCTAGAAAAGCTTTTTTGCCCTAAGGGCCAAAGGTCAAAAGACAGGAAGTCCTCAGCAGGGCTAGTCCAGAGTTTACTGGGGAGATCACAGCATTAGGTAACCCCTGCTTAAAATGAGCCACTGTCCCTGCATTCAATCAGGAGGTCAGGAGTCAGTGTGGGCAGCGCCAGGCCAAGACCAGATCAGACTGACTCAGGAATGGGGCAAAAAATAGTTTCCAGGGAATAAGGAAAACCTGGGCTCACCTCAATGCCAAGAAGTTCTGCCTGCATGCAAGGAGCTTAGCCATGGAGTGTGCACAGCCGTCAGTCAATTTGTTGTTGAATAGACTGTTCGGTTCCAGAAGAGAGGAGACACAGAAGCAAAGCACAATGGACAGTGAGCACCAAATCCCAGGGTTGCCCTTCCCCTCTGGGCAGGAATCACCGGCACCCCTCCGCATCATGCAAACAGCCCCTGCCCCAGCCCATCACTCACAGCTTCCCAGGCTGCACGACCTGGGGTGAGACCAGGGGACTTGGGGCCCATTGTCTACAGCCCAGGCTGACTTACGCTAACTTCTGCAATTGCTCGCAGTGAAGAGCACATTCAATGAGCTTGCAGATGCCTCGGTCTGAGATATTGTTATCGCGCAAACTAAAGAGACAAAATAAATACATTTGAAAATGGAGCTAGTAAGACAAGAAAAAAATCTACAACCCCCCAAAAAGACTTTCATTCATCCCTGATGACATCCCCAATGACACCACTCCAACAGGCTAGTCCCTGCTGAGCAAGCCCTGTCTGCCACTCCTCTTGGGGCACCACTCCCAAAACTCACCTGATCACAACATCATCTGAAAGCTTCCCTAAAATACAGATTCTCAGGCCGGTACCCTGGAGCTGGCAATCAACTATCTGCCGGGTGGGGCCAGGAATCTGTATATTTTAACAACTGTGCACATGATTCTTTATCTTCAGGCAAACTTGCGAGGCCCTGACTGAATGGTTAACAGCTCAGGCTCTGGAGTGCCTCAGCTGGATATTGGGATCGTGATCAGCCACTTACTAGTTATTTACTGGTCTCTTCATCTATAAAAAAGGGAACAATAGTATTATCAGCCTCACCAGTCTGTGCACATAAAGCCTTGTGAGCACCTAGCACACAGTAAAAGTCACCTAGAACCATGATCGCTAGCATTGGTCAAAATCCTTAGCACTTCCTAGTAATAACATTATTTCCTCCTCACGACAAGCCAGTGAAGTGGGTACCATTATTATGTGCATTTGTGAGAAAGAAACTGAGGCACAGACAAGCGAAGTGACTTTGCCAAGGTTGTACGGAACATAAAGGCTTTGAGCCTAGGCAGCCTGGTTCCAAACCCCACTCTTAATCATGACATTGTGCAGCTTCTCCCTTAGGGCCTCTTATGGCCACTTCTCTAGTGCAGGGATTTTTCAGACTGCAGGGTGCAGGTCATGCAAACCATTTTGAAGGTCCTGAGCAGCATTTCTAAAATGGAAATAGAACAGAACAGAAGAGAGCAGAGTGCCTCAGAGTTCACAAAGCAAAGTCATTTCGTAAAGCTTTGGTTCCATGTTTACACGGTGGTGCGCTCTCTCTCTCTCTCTCTCTCTCTCTCTCTCTCTCCTCTCTCTCTCTCTCAATCACTGTGGGTCACATTCAAAAAACTTTTAAAGTCATCACTCTAGAGTCTGAGAGAGCCAGAGTCTAAAGAAACCTATATAGGGGCACTGTGTATATAGGATTTCCTAGAGGCTGAGGATTTCAGTTGGCATGGAAACACTTCAAGTGGGAGAGAGGCAGGTTGGCACTGTGGGAGAGGAGCCTGTGCCCTCCTCCTTCCTCCCTTCCTCTCTCTCTCTCTTTCTCTCTCAATCTCTCTGTCTCTCTCTCTCTCCCCCACCCCTCACACACACACACACACACACACACACACAATGCACTCACAGCAACCTCATGGTTGCTTCCCCTCCCCTACGGCCTTGGCAATTTTAGTGTGTGTAAGGTGAAGAGCAGTAAAACTCGCTCAAGGACAGTAATTGCTAACGGAAAACCAAGCTGGTTGCTGCAGACCAGTAGTTCTCCCAGAGTGAGACCACTTGTATCAGAATCCCCAGGGATGTTTGTGAAAAATATAGATCCCCTGGGCCCCACCGCAAACCTACTGAATGGGAATCACTAGAGGCAGGCCCAGGAATCTGCATTTCCACAAACGCCTTTACACACCACAGTCTGAGCAGCAGGAGCTAGAACCAGGCCACCCTCACCTTTCTCTGAACATACAGACAGACCTACAGGTTTCCCAGAGCCCTTCTGCACACCCTGGGAATCATGGGGACATCCTTAATCAAGGATGGAAGATCCATTCAAGAATTCCAGAGATGGACTGGCCTATGAGGATCACACAGGCCAGTGATGGCTGGCCTCTTAGGGTAAACACTGTGAGTCTACTACCCAGAAAAATGCACATTCTTATTTCTATCAGGGAAATTGCTCCAACAGACAGGTTTCCAAATTCCCACTCAAAGTATCAGGATCCTCCCTCCTAGGGAAATACAGTTTGGTGCTGGCTGTCTTCCACTTGCCTGGCCAGATTGACTCTCCCCCTTCTCTACCCATCTCTGGCTCCTGGGAGGCTAATGCCTGGGGACGACTCCAGCAGGCAGCCCACTCGGTCTCCCTGATGGGTCCAGTCAGTGGAAGGCGCTGGCCGGGGCAAGAGTCGGGGTGGGGAGTTAGGGCCAAGCGGTATTCTTCCAGGTTGCAGAAGCTCAGGCAGCCCTCTCCATACCTTCCCCGCAGCTAATTAGTCTCCCTCCCCTTCCCCCTTCAAGTCTACCCTCTCCCAGCTGTTACTAACCCCAGGCCCCTGCACCAACCCTCTCGCTCTTCCTAACTCCTGCCCATGGCTTGTAAACAATCTCTTTATTAAACTCTCCTCAAATCATCCATTTTAAGTGTATCATCTGTTTCCTCCAAGACCATGATGGGTATAATCATATTTATATTCATTGTGTATAACACATATATATATATTCACTATATATGTTATGTGTTATGTTGTTATTATGCTTTAACCTTATGACCATGGTCCTTATGTCAGGGTTAACAAAAGTCACTGCACGGTTTCTAGTGGATATCCATGTGTTCGGCCCATAGTGAAAAATAAATCTTGTTGCTTTGCCCCAGAGAAGATGTATACCATCCTAATACTCTCAAGAAGAGGTTTGTCCCATGCTTAGGGTCAATTAAGATCATCCAGGTGTAACCTAAAGCCCCTGGAGGCTGGGAATCGATTTTAACTTCAATCTAGAACTTCTGCTTTCCCATAGGTTCTAAATAGAAGCAGGGCGTCCCCTTTCAAGCTGAAAGGATGTTGGGGAATCTGTGGCATGCTGATCCCCAGGCCTAGGCACACCCTCTGCCCTTGCCTGCCCCCAAGATGTGGAAAGAGGCCACTGAGTTCAGGGGCACCGATTCTCCAAAGGGCAAAACCTCATATCTTTGGCTGGGGCTCTTAAGCAATACAGGTAGTGCTGAAATCCTGTTTGGACACTGTGCTACCTCAGGAATCCAAGAGTGGCTCCTCTTCCATTGTTGAAAGTGGCCAGGCAAATGGAAGATAGCCACTGTTGAAATCCTGCAGCCACTTTCTATTTCTTGGGCCCTGACATTCCCATCTGATTGGGATGTTAAAGTCTCTGATGGGGCACTAGTCACCTCTGATTTGGTGACACATAGTACACAAAACTTTCTGCATGTGACCTCAAGGTTTTCAGGGAGCCTCTGAAGTGTATCCAGAGACTGGTGGGGGGCAGGAAACCTGTTATCAGAAAGATGTGATTTGTGAACCTCAACTCTGCCATTTCCTGTGTGACCCTGGACAATTTACTTCACTCCTCTGAGCCTCAAGTCAAGGATACTGGAGATAATAACATTCCTGCCTACAGCCCTGGGTAGTTGTAGAGATTAGATGAGGTCATTCCGGAAAGAGTAGCACCAGACCCAGCACAGAGGCCAGTCAATAAAGTATGGCTGTCATCACCACATATTGAAATTAAGACCCAGAAGGGAAGGGATCTGGACAGGGGTGCAAAGAAGGGTGGCAAAGGTGAAGCTGGGCCCAGATTTCTAGATCCCAGCTCGGTGCTCCCACGCTTAGCCTTGATGATGCTTCCCCATGCCTGAATAGCAATGCCCAGTAACACTCACTACAGAGCCTTGCAGACACCAAGGCAAGGCAGCAGCTGCTCCACGCCAATATCACCCACAGAGTTGTAGTCCAGCTGCAGGGCCACGGGCTGCCGGAGGTGCCGCAGCACAAAGGCCAGGGCAGCACACTCGGCGGGGCCCACACTGCAAAATGTCAACTTGAGGTGCCCGACATTCAGGCCACGTGCAGCCTTCCGTGCCAGCCGCTCCTCCTGCATCTCGTATAGGCTCCGGATAAGCCAGATGAACCCGGGCATGGCGTGCATGCTCTTGGCCTCACCCGGCGCAGCTGGCGGGATGGAGTGGAAGTGCTTGCGGAGGCTGCGGGCCAGACACCAGCGGGCACAGGCCTGGCGCCGGAGCAGGGCCTTCTCAGATGCCTGGCACTCGGCCAGCAGGTCCCAGTGCTCCCGGGACAACAGTCCCGCCAGGAAGGCTGCCGTGATCTGAAGGTTGTGCGGCTCGGCCTTCTGCAGCAAAGCTGCCACGCTGCCGTCCTTTCCCTCTGAGCCCTGGATGCACAGCGTGGGCAGGAGCCTGGCCATCGGTGAGTTGCCTGGCCTGCCACAATTGAAGAGGTGTCTGAGCAAAGCTGGTGACACATCAGCACTGAATGCCAGGTAGAATGCAGCAAAGAAGCACTGGAAAGTGATGTGCAGGAATTCCAAGGGCGCCATACCCCCTGGCATGACACCTTTGGCACGCACCAGGAAGCCAAGAGAAATGTCATCAGGGCTGACCTGTGCTGCCTGGAGCTGCTGGGCTGAGAACACGTAGCAGCACATGCCCAGGCCCCACAGGGCTAGTCTGCCCAGGTGCAGAAGGGTGGGGAGACGGCCCCGAAGAAGACTGGGTCCCAGACCTTGGGAGGCTGAGTCTGGGGAGGTGGCATGCAGCAGAAAATGCTGCAGGATCAGCAGGTACATATCTGTAGTGGTCTTTGGGGACACCCCCTCCTGCAGCAACAGTTCCTGGTGGCATTTGGACACCATCCACGAGAAGACAGGAAGGTGGCACAAACCATGCAGGGCTGAGGTCGCTTGGAGCAGGCGGATGAGGCGGTCCGCCACCCCAGGCTCACGATGGCGCTTCCTCAAGTACAGCTCGATGCCCTGTTCAGAGAAGCCCTTGAGGTTGAACTCGGTGCGGATGTACTTCCTGAGGAATGCTGACACAGCGGCTGGACGGCTGGTCACCACCTTTCGGGCATTCTTCAGCAGGTTGCCCTGCAGAAGGTTGAAGAGCAGGGTCTGGACAGAGGTGGGGTCGGTCGGGGAGCAGTGACGCTCATGATCCGTGAACCTGAACTTGAACTCATCAAAGCCATCAAAGGTTAACAGGACACGGTCAGGGTGGTCAAGGAGGAACTGGAAGATGTCCTCTTGATCAACATCAGGCCAACAGCAGTGCTCAAAGAGTAGCGTCCGCACGGAGAGTGGTTTGGCCACGCACTGCAGCTGCCGGCAGCTGAATGGGAAGACAAAGAGAAATTCCTGGAAGTCTCGCCCTGCAGCCCACAGCAAGTGGAGCCGCTGCAGGAGCGTGCTCTTGCCGCTGCCCGCCTCACCGACCACCAGCACGGTGTCTGCATCGTCGTTGAGGTGGCTGCGGGTGCTGAAGAGCTCCTCCAGACCCAGGGTGGCCGGGCTCTTCTGCGGGGGTCCAGCCATGCCCACGTCTGCCCAGACCTCCAGGCCATTCTCTGTGTATATGTCCTCCAGGCAGAGCGTCTCTGCCCCATCATAGGTACTGAGGAAGCGAGCCTGAGCAGACACCGTGGTCCTCAGCTTGGCCATGTACTTCCTGCATGTGGCAGCTGGAAGGCAGAAGAAAAGGCAGATGAAGGTGGCACCATGGTGAAGAGGGGACCTAACCAGACAGTGGGCTGCTGTGGGGGAAGCTGACATAACTGAAGGGATAGGACAGCCAGCAAGCGCCCATCCTGGCTCCTCCATTCACAAGCTGTGGACTTTGAGGACAATCAAGGAAACTTCCTAACGGTCAGTGTCCACCTCTGCAAGGTGGGAGAAAAGTTGATCTCTACCTTACAGACTTTTTACACGGATCAACTAAGATGACGTATGTCAAGTGCTCAGCACAGTGCTCAACACAAAGTAAGTCCAAAGACATCAGTGACTGCCGTTATCATTACTCACACCAGGAGGAGTTGTAGATGATGGGAAGGGGCTCTAGGCTGGGATCAGAAGACCTGTATTCTGATATCTGTCCTGCCATAATGGCCGGGTGGCTTTGGATAAATCCCTTCACCATTCACTCTCAGTTAACTTTTTCTAAGGGGAACAAAGGGCTTCAGGGCTCAGGAGCCCAGTCTCTGAAGTCAGACACACCTGAGTGTGAAAACCTGCGTCCACCACATACTTGGGCAAGCCATTTAGCCTTTCTGGGCCTCAGTTCTCTCATCTGTAAAAAGGGGGACAATATACACCTGGAAGGATTGTTTCAGGAGGCAGTGAGATAAAATAGAGTTTAAAAGAATATCTGACATGGCAAACTCTCAAAAAATGGTGCTTATTATCATTATTATTCATGGCTATAGTAGGCACAACAATAGACCCTCGAAGATGTCCATGTCCCGATCCTCAGAACCTGTGAATATGTTACCTTACGTGGCAAAAGGAACTCTGCAGATGTGATAAAGTTAAACTTCGAGATGGGGAGATGAGCCTGATTGATCTGGGTGGGCCTAGCAATAGAAGGCCTCGGGGTCACCAGGGTGCCCCAGCTGAGCACTAGAATGAGAGTCTGTGATCCTGCCTCCACTTCCTCATCCTCCCCATGCTCCCCATGCACCCCATGCAGGGAGAGTTTTCATGCACAGGGTGTGTTTGGAAGGCTACTGCTCTTCCTTTCTCATCCTGAAAGCAATGCGAGCGAGCCATTTCCTGTGTCAGGGTTTAGTTCCCCTTTCAGGAAATGGGGAAGTGCTGGTTTAGAGTCCCCGGCTGGTAGGAACTCAGCACGGTCCCCCGCCATCACAGCCTCACTGCCCCCAACCAAACACTGGCCCACTTATTTTCAACCCAAAAACTAACAAGTAATTTTCAGAGAGCTCTGAGCTCACTGATGACTATCTGCAGTCACACAAAGGGGACGCCCTGTGTTTATGTCACCTCTGTTGTTCCCAGAGTTGGTGATTATTGCTGAGCTTTCTGCCCTCTGAATACACCAGGATCCCTGAACTTAGACCATAAGGTAAATATCTTCCTCTCCAATACATATCAGATATATATCTTCCTCTTCCGACCTGATTTCCAATGCAGGCTTTCCAGCCATCACCAATGATACTAAAATTCTCCAGAAAAAAAGAAAATGTCATTTTATAGAGAAATAAACACACCTTTAGAAGTGTGGGGAATCCTGCACCCTGGCCTGGTCTTACAGTGATCAGCTGTGCTTGATGATATCAACGGCAAACCTCAACCAAGGGCCAAACCAGGCCCCGCGCTCCATGCTGCTCACCCCCTGTGGTGCACTGATGTTTAGATCCCATTCTTTGATGAGACTGTGCACTCGCGAGTGCCAGGCACAGACTTACAGCCACCCCTCCCACAGGTTTGCTTGCTGCCCACAGGGCAGGGCCCAGGGTGATAGACCCATCTGCCAGCACCACGCACAGCTCAGGGAGCTTCAGTGCCAATGAGCCTTCCCTACAGTGGTATAGGAACAAGCCCTAAAGAGTGCCAGACTTTTGCACCCTCTCTTTACAACTGACATTTCTTCTCCCAAGAAAAGAGAAAGTGTAGGTGGGGACAATTTACAATCAGACCCATCTGCCCCCTCCCTTGTCACTTAACCTCCCTGCCCAGTTTCCACATCTATAAGGTGAAAAAACCACCACCTACTTCTCAGGGTTGTTGCAAAGGGTAGACATTGTCCATAAAGCACCCGGCAGGAGGCCTGGTATGTTCAAGAGGTGCTGTCCAAGCCCCTCCTGTTCCTGAGTTTGGGTGGTGACCCTGGGCACTGAGGGATACCAGAGTCTCTAGATCCACTTGGTTCTTGAGTTTCCGATTGTGAGCTGCTAAATTTCAGAGATCAAGAGGTACCAGCCCTAACTCAAAACATGTGTCCGTATCTTTTTGGTACAGATAATGAGAGTTTGGATGGTAAGTAACACCTTTAGTTAGCCTTCAGCATATGGTAGCTCCAATTGTCAGTGTACTGTGTGGGAGATAATGAAAGCTAATACCTAACATCATACGCTTTTGTCCTTTTAATCCTCCTAAAATTGCAATGAGATAGGGGATGGTGGTAGCCTTAAAACAAGGAAACTGAGTCACATGGAGGCTACACTGCCAGCATATGGGATGCTAACCGAGGTGTGTTCTACTCTTAACCATGGATCTGCACTGACTGCCCTTCCCTTTCTGATTAACTGAGAACATATACCTACCTTCCAAAGGCAGGGCCAACGGGACTGGTAATTCCTGAACATGTTGTAGAAGGAAGGCGGCCAATCCATTCGCTTTCACTGTGGCAAGATCGAGCAGCCTTCTTGCCTATGGGAAAGACAGAAGACATTGTTCCTCCAGGAAGGCTGATGGAGCAGTGTGGGAAGGCTTACTGATTACTACAACTTCATAAGCATCTCTCTTCCGTCCAGAATAAAAGGTCAGAAAAGCAACCGAACAACCACAGAAGTTTCAAGTCGTTAATAGTGTTGGATGGTGAATTGAACACACGCATCCAATCTGGCTCCTACCCAAAACTCACTAAAACAGTGAATAACTGAAAAATAAATGAAACAACATGAAGACATAAACCTACAAAGATAGGGAAAATGATTCTGCAGGCTGTACATCATTTGGAAGAGAAGTGATTTCGTCAAGTCTCATGGATTGAATATTTGAATACAATCTCTGCTCAGACTCCCACATCTTCATGTCCAGCCTGAACTGTCCCCCTGAAACCTGGACTTACGCATCCAACTGCCTAGTTTCCATTTCCACTTAAAAGTTTCATAAACACCTCCAACATATTCAAAACTAAACTCCTAACCTGCCCACGCACCTGCCAAACCAACAGCCTTCCTCATCTTGGCTAATATTAACCCCATTCTTCCAGGTGCTCAGCCCCGAAGTCGTGGAATCACCCTCGAAGTCTCTCCTCTGTAATCTGTCAAATCCTGTTGACTCCACCTTCAAAGCATGTCCCAAAGAGCACTGTCCAACAGAAATAAAATGCAGGGCACAAATGCAAGCCGCATGTGGAATTTCAAATCCTCTAACAGACATATGTTTTAAAGTTAAAAGAAATAGATGAATTAACTTTAATCATATATTCTATTTAACCCACAATAGTCCAAACATTACCATTGCAACATGTAATCCATGTAGAAAATAGCAAAATATGACCGAGCCTGGTGGCTCACGCCTGTAATTCCAGCACTTTGGGAGGTCAAGGCAGGCGGATCCCCTGAGGTCAGGAATTCCAGAGTAGCCTGGAGAACGTGGTGAAACTGCATCACCACTAAAAATACAAAAAATTAGCCAAGCGTGGTGGCATGTGCCTGTAGTCCCAGGTACTCAGGAGACTGAGGCAGGAGAATCACTTGAACCTGGGAGGCAGAGATTGCAGTGAGCTCAGATCACACCACTGCACTCCAGCCTGGGTGACAGAGCAAGCCTGGGTCTCAAAAAAAAAAAAAAAGAAAAGAAAAGAAAAGAAAAGAAATAGCAAGGTATTTTTCATTCTTTTTTTCATATTAAGTCTTTGAAATCTGGTGTGTATTATGTGCTTATGGAAATTCCATGTGGACCAGCCGGGTCTCTAGTGCTCAAATGCCATCTGTGGCCAGTGTCTACATACCAGACACACAGCTAGAGAGCCCTGCCACTTCCTGTCACCTCCTCTATACCATCCTCCTCCAACCCACAATCCCTGCTCACCTAGAAAGCTGCACAGGCCGCAAAATTGGTCCCCCTGCTTCTGTTCCTGCCCCCACAGCCTAGCCTTAATGCCACAGCCAGAGTCTAATCCTTTACAAACAAAACTCAAGTCACATCGCTCCTGTACGAACGTCCCAATAACATCCCTATTTCCTCAGAATAAGAGTCCAAGTCCAACAGTAAACTTCAGGGCCCAAAACAGACAAAAATACCTGTCTAGAACCACGTGGACCCAAGTTTCTCCTTTCATGCCCCCTATTACTCCACTCAGCATCCTGGCCTCCTGTTTCCTAAAACTACCAGGCATGCTCCTGCCTCTGGGCCTTGGCTCTGGCTGTCCCCTCAGCTTGGAAGCCTTCCTCCAGCCATCCATGTGGCTAATTCACTGTCCTCCTTCAAGTCTTTACTCAAATTTCACCTTCTAAGTGAGAACTCTGACTACTCTATTTAAAATTGCCATCATTTATCCCCTTCCCAAACTCTCAACTCCCAAACCATTTTACTTACTTTCTACAGCACTTATCACCTTCTAGCACGCTCTGTAATTTCCTTCCTTTGGCTTATTGTCCCTCTCCCCTTACTGGAGTGTGCGTATTTATTTCCAGGACAAAGATTTTTCTCTATTTTGTTCACTGAGGTATCCCCAACACCTAGAAGAGTGTCTGGCACAAATCGGGTGCTCAAGGACTTGCTGAATGAATAAATGGTAATGGACTGGGGAGACTCCTGAAAGTCAAATCTTAATGTCAAAATGAGAAAGTTGAAAACCATGCAGTGTGTATCCTAGAATCTGTAAAGGGCTCTGGAATGATCAGCATGAGGGACCTCCGGAACTGAAGGAAATGACTAAAACAAGAAGGACTGAATCAAAGTGTTTTCTGAAACACATTTCTGGTTTATCCCCAGACAAAAGTCTGTGGTCTACTCAGACAACTTGATTAACCCAGGAGGCAAGATCTAAAGATATAAACACTGTCATTTCCCAAAATGTCTACAGTGAAATTCATGGTAGACAAGTCTCACCCACGTGCTCAACAAGTTTTAAAGTCCTACCTGTTAGTCTTGAGAAAGAAAACCAAGGAGTATCATGAGCTCAGAGAAAGCATCTAATGTGGGAGATAGAAGCCAAACAAGGGAGGAAGGGGAAAGCTACTTGTAGAAAAGGTTTACATAGGGTGAAAAACAGTCAAACAAAAAACAAAGAACCCACCTATCTTATGATCCTTAAGTCAAAGAAGATGTTGCATCCATAAAACAAGAGTAAGATACTACAAAAAAGAAACAGTCAAACCTACCTCTTGCAAACTAAAATCATGACATCAAAAATGAAAAATTCAAGAGTTTAAAGATAGAGTTGTGACTATCATAGAAAAGTAGATCAAAAAGACACAGAGATGGAAAATAGAAGAAAATTAAATGATCAGTCAAGGAGTTCTAACATTGAAGTAATAGTAGTTTCATAAAAAGAGAAGAGATAAAATGGAGAGGAAGAAATCACCTATAAACTAATCAAGAACATTTCCCAAAACATAAAGACAGAAGTTTCCAGATTCAAAGTACCTCTTGGGTGACCAACACAATGGAAGAACATCAAGGCACATCATTGAAATTTTAAAATGCTGGGGACTAAAAGAAAATTTTACAAGCTTCCAGAAAGAGTTTTAAAATGGTTTTGGAGGCTGGGTGTGGTGGCTCACGCCTTTAATCCCAGCACTTTGGGAGGCCAAAAGGGTTAGGAGATCACCTGAGGTTAGGAGTTCAAGACCAGTCTGGTCAACATAGCAAAACCCCATCTCTACTAAAAATATAAAAATTAGCTGGGTGTGGTGATGAGTGCCTGTAATCCCTGCTACTCAGGAGGCTGAGGAAGAAGAATTGCTTAACCCCAGGAGGTGGAGATTGCAATGAGCCAAGATGACACTACTGCACTCCAGCCTATGTGACAGAGTGAGACCCTGTCTCAAAAAGAAAAAAAAAATGGTTTTGGAATTCTTAGAAGCAATATTGAAAAGAGATGATAATGGAATAATGCAATCAAAGTTCTGAAGGAAAATGATGGCCAGCCCAGAATTTTTATACCCAGCTAAACTATCAATCCAGTATGAAGGAACTTTTAGAAATGTAAGAGCTCAGAAATTTTAACTTTCATACTTTCATTATAAGGAATTGACTGGAGGATATGGTCTAGCAAAATGGAGTAAACCAGGAAAGAAGAGGCCACAGGATTCAGGATATAGGAGACCAACTCAGGAAGACCATGTAGGGAAATCTCAGGTTGACGGCTGTATACTATAAGTAGACAGCCACCAGTTCAGACAGAATGGAGTAGTGACTCAAGACTCAGACTTGTTGAGGGCGTTTATCTCCTAGATGTCCAGGCAAGCCTGACCCTAACCTTTTTCTATGTTTGACTTTTCTTCACTATGAACTAATATCATTTCTTTTTGACTCCTGCTGCCTCAGTCAGCTGAGGACATTCATTTTACTCCATAGAAGTGCTTATCCTTGGCCTATTCCTAGACTAGAATAGCCTTTGGCAAGTTTACCACTGACTGTACAAAGCAGCCTGCTACCTCTGGACATTTTCCTCTGGACAGCACCTAATTCACATCAGCTGTATCAGACCCTCCAGTTGCAATGGGCCCAATATTTCCCCAGACTCATTCATGACATTGCCTACTGACTTCCCAGAAGAGGTCCTTATAAATTCCCAGGGAAGGCAAAGCCAGACCAAGTCCCTGGGACTCCACTTAGCTTTCCCTGCCTTGGGAACCTTCATCTAAGAAAAGGTAATAGTGACCTTTCTTTTTTTGAGACAGAGTCTTGCTCTGTCGCCCAGGCTAGAGTGCAGTGGTGTGATCTCAGCTCACTGCAACCTCTGCCTCCCGGGTTCAAGTGATTCTCCTGCCTCAGCCTCCTGAGTAGCTGGGACTTCAGGTACATGCCTCCATGCCTGGCTACTTTTTTGTATTTTTAGTAGAGATGGGGTTTCTCCATGTTGGCCAGGATAGTCTTGATCTCCTGATCTCGTGATCTGCCTCCCTCGACCTCCCAAAGTACTGGGATTAAAGGCATGAGCCACCACACCCAGCCTAATTTAAGTGACCTTTCTTTACACAGTTATTTTTGGCTTGCTACTCAGTTTTTCGAAATAGAACAATACATTGTTTGGGGATTTATTTTAAACGATGCTAAAACATTAAAGAAAGCAAAGAAATGATTTACACAAATCATTTTTTTTTACCAGTGTTTACCTCTAGTAGTTGCAATTAAAGAAGGCCCCAGGTACTGACAATGTCCTGTTTTTTAACCTGGGTGATGAGAGCAGTTTACACCATACATATGAAATATACACACTTTTCTGTATGCATGGTGTATTTCCCAATTTAAAAATGTTTAAGTTAATATTGTTATAGGAATCAGGCAATTCAGAGCTCAGTCTGACACCTCAGCCCTATCAACTTTAACAGTTGCATGAGTCAGACGGACAGCTGGTATTACAGCTGGTGTTACCAGCCTCAGGTTTCCTAACAACTGCTATGCCCAACTGAGCAAGTTTACCACACAAAGCCCCCACATTTTATGACAGACAGAGAATAGCACAAGCTCTGGAGGAAAACAGGCCTGGATTCAAATTCTAGCTGGGCCACTTCCCAGATGGGCGATTTGGGCAGTTTCTTCATTGTTAAAAAACAGTGTAGTCACACTACACCCTTGTGGGGCTAAATAAAACAATACAGGGAATGGACTGGGTACAGTGCCTGGCACACAGTAGGCATTCACTCAGTCAGTAGTAGCAATGGCTATTTTTGGAATTTAGTTCTTTAACTTGCATTTTGTTTCATTCCACAGCATTTTCTGTCCCTAACCTGCAATCAATGACAACTACTTCTTCATAGGAAATTAAAAGGCCATTTGGGAAGACATGTTGGTTGGATATACCACAAGCACCATCCAGATAAAATCAGAAAGGCCACTAAAGGAAGGCTACCAAATCAGAGTCACAGAATGTCAGAGCTCAAAGGGGGCTCAGAGAGAGCTGGATTCTAAAGGCTTAAACCTCAGACAATGCAATCCCTTCAAAATCTCCTAGTATCCTCAGATCTGTTGCCCCCTATCCCTGCTACCCACTCAGCTCAGTCCCAGCCTTCAATGTTTGCTTTTGCTGTCTATTTAGCCCTTTCTTAAGATGAATTCTTAGCTCATTAAAATCCAGCCTTAGATGGGCACGGTGGCTCATGCCTGTAATCCCAGCACTTTGGGAAGCCGAGGGAGGAGGGTTACTTGAGCCCAGGAGTTTGAGACCAGTCTGGGCAACATAGCAAGACCCCGTATCTACAAAAAAAAAAAAAAAAATTTAGCCTAGTATGGTGGTGCCAGCCTGTGTCCCACCTGCTTGGAAGGCTGAGGCGGGAGGATCACTTCAGCCCAGAAGTTCGAGACTTCAGTGATTTATGATTGTGCCACTGCACTCCAGCAGCCTGGATGACACAGTGAGATCCCCATCTCAAATAAATAAATAAATGCCTTTCTTCTTTCCTAATCTAGGCATCTAAGGTTGTAAATTTCCCCCTATGTTCTGCTGTAGCTCTATCTGATAGATTTTGATAAATAATATTCTCATTATTTTTTGGTTCTGAATATTTTCTGATTTCCATCACGATTTCTTCTTTCACCCATGAGTTATCCCATTTCTTTTCTTCACCAATTCGGAGGTACTTCCTCTGCTCATATCCTGTCTTCTCTGGGCCCTAGGGATCTAGGCTACCTTCTCCAAACCCCTCAGACCATCTGTACCAGACCACATTGCTGAACTTTTAAAGATGACAAGACACAATCTTGTAACTTCTCAGACGGGTTGATTCAATTCCCCTAATAAATTATAAGAGAAACTAAGGTCAGTCCAATAATGAATATATCTTCTGTACGTGTAACTAATCAGAGAGGACTGCACCACGTCTGCTCTGTAAATACCTAGCCATGTGAGCCAGCTTTAGTGCAGCCTTGAAGACAAATTCGTTTATTTCATCAGTCTCAACCTAGGGTTACCCAGACTCACATGAACACCACATACATTTTTGGAAAACAGACAAAAATAAAAACTAAAATGTTCCCCAATCCAGCCCAATTTAATACTGCAGTGTCATTCTAATTCAATCGTTCATTCAATAACTCATTTATTTCATCCACAAATATTTATGGAGTACCTACTATGTGCAAAGCTCTATGAAGACAACAAACTTTAAGCAAATATATATGAAGCACCTAGTAGATTCTGGCTGAATAAATGAATGAATAAATGAATGATGGATGAATAAGCCAATGACCAATGTTGGCCAGCTGGTCCAGCATTGGCCCTCTCATTAACTATTGTGAGCTTATTCAAACTACTTTACTTGGTCTCAGTTTCCTGATTTATAAAGTGGAATGTTAGTGAGTGTTCCGTCTGCCTCTCAGGAGCCCTAAGAATCACTGTTTGGAAGAAAACAAAAGAGTTTCAAAAATATTCAGTGGTCATTTCTCTGACCTTCTGGTCTCTGTTGAGTCATTACCTTCTTGGGGCAGTTATATCCCAACTCTGAACATCTATGATCTAATGCAATTTCATATCAGAAATCCTACATAAACATTTAAGCTATATTAGTATATAATATGCCACGTTAATTATAAAATAGAGATTCAATATACTACAATGTTATGATCTGTTGTGCTGTTAATTTAAAACAGACAGAAACAAAAGTGTACAAGTACAGAGTATCACTCATAACAGAAATAATCAATAGCAGCCAGTGGTAATAGACACTATCCTAAGCATTACTCAATTTAACTCACTGAATCCTCCCAAGAGCCTTATAGGATAGGCACCATTTGACTATTACCATTGTTTTATAGATGAGGAAACTGAAACAAGAGAGACTGAGGCTGGAGAGGCTCCATAGGGAAGCCTGAGATCACACAGGGTTGACCTTGAGCCTGCACCATTCTGGCTTCAGAATCTGAGTCCCTGGCCACCACACACTTCCTCTCGGCAGAAGTGGTATGTTGGCCAGGCAAAGCGGTTCATGCCTGCAATCCCAACGGTTTGGGAGGCCAAGGCGGGAGGATTGCTTAAAACCAGGAGCTGGAGACCAGCCTGGGCAACATAGCAACAGCCCATCTCTAAAAGAAAAAAAAAAAAAAATTACTGTGCGTGGTGGTACAGCACTCATAGTCCCAGCTACTCAGAGACCAGAAGATCATGAGTGCAGGAATTCAAGGCTACAGTGAGCTATGATTGTGCCACTGCATTCTAGCCTGGGTAACAGAGCAAGGCCTGTCTCTTATACACATCTAGATGTGTATAAGAGACAGGGGAAGAAGGGGAGAGAAAAGGAAAAGAAGGGAAGGGAAGGAAGAAAGCGAGAGAGAGAAAGCCTATGTAACACCTGTCTCTTATACACATCTGGGAGGAGAGGGGAGGGGAGGGAAAAAGAAAAAAGGAAAGAAAGTTGTATGTTGCCTGCCAAGAGTCAAGAGCAAATTTTACCTGCCTGGCTACCTTTTTAGGGGAAATCCCACAGACCAAGTTACCCCACAGGCTGACTTCATGAGGACAAATCAGTCTTGGTGACTAAGCACCCCTTTCCTGGGAACTCTGTGATGCATGCAGGAGTGCCTCACCCTCTGGGACGGTGTGAAGATTGGCAGCCTGATTTCGTCACATTCGTACTGGCTGACGAAACCCCGCTCTCGTGCCAGGTCCAGCACGCCCTCCACATGGCTGTGGAGCCTCCTGACAATGGCTGGCCGGTGACTCTGCAGGTCTCGGGCTGGGTGGAGTGAGTGGGGGTCCCAGCAGCCATGCAGCTTCGGGGATTGGCTGTCGGCCTGGGCTTCCTGGGCAGCGGCGACGAGTTTCTGACAGGCCCAAGTACCCTTATTCCAGACGGTGTCCAGGAGGCGCCTGGCCAAGTGGGAGAGAGGCTGGCCCAGGAGGTGGATGCCCTCGTAGTCTTCCCAGGAGAGGACCTCCCAGGACAGCAGCCAGTCCAGGACACTCTCGAAGCCCTCCAGGGACCCTGAGACCAACAGCTCCACCAGCTGACTCCTCTGTGCCTGAAAAGCCTCCTGCGAGCACATTTCACAACCTGGGGAGGAGAACAAGGTCAGTGCAGGACTTCTCCAGAAGCCAGACGCGGGGTGGCTGGGGAAGGCCAGGGCAAGTCAGCCCCAGCAGAACCCGAGTTGACCATGGTTCTAGCCTCAGACATTACCCAATCCAAGCTCCCCACCACACAGATGTGAAAATTGAGACCCAGAGAAGGCAAGAAACACCTCAAGGTCCCACAGAGAGTTTGAAGCAACCAGGAATTAAACCAAGACCCCTAACTCCCACATCCATGCTTGGTCTCCGGCTTAAAACGTTTAAAAAGGCTTGAGGTAATATGAGGAGCAAGAGATCTCCCAAGGTCACTTGAGATCAGGAGTTCCAGACTAGCCTGGCCAACACGGTAAAACCCTTTCTCTACTAAAAATACAAAAATTAGCCAGGCATGGTGTGGGCACCTGTAATCCCAGCTACTCAGGAGGCTGAGGTAGGAGAATCACTTGAACCCGGGAGGCAGAGGTTGCAGGCTGCACTCCAGCCTGGGCAACAGAGCAAGACCCTGTCTCAAAAAAATAATAATAAAAATGTAAAAAGTAGAGAGAGAGAAAGAGAGATCTTCCAAGCAGTCTGGGAATTCATTCTCTTCAAAGCAGGGTGAGAGGGGCTCCTTCACACTGGCTGGATTCACGCTACAGCAGTTTCAGTAATGGCTAATATTAATTAAGCATAAACAACACACCACGCGCCATTCTAAGTGCTCTCCTGAGTGAATTCACTGAACCCTCCCAGCCACTCTGAAGTAGTGCCTATGATCTGCCCATTTTACAGAGGAAGACACTGAGGCACCGAGAGGCTCAGCGATTTGTACGACATGTCACAGCTAGACAGGCAGAGTCAGGATTTCAACACAAGCCGTGTGCAACTCCAGAACGCATGTCTCTAACTCTTACATTTGGGTTCCCCACGGGGGCCCCAAGCCTGTGCTGTGTGTTTTGCACACTGCTACTCCAAGGGGTACACTCAGAGTATTGTTCTAAAGGTCCTATCCTAGGCTAAGTGAAAAATTACGGTGCAAACTAAGTTGTTTCCAAGCGTTCTCGTGCCTTGTCCCCCATCAGCACTTCCCCCACACACTTGCCCTAGGGCCCTCACCTCCCTCCCACGCCCTCGAAACCACCGTGCACAGACTGCTGCTGCTGCTACCGTTAGCCACCTGCTGTGGGTTCTGGGAATTTGAGGGCAAGTAACCCTTCAGGAGCTTCAAGCCCTGGGAGGATCTCTGAGCAGCTGAGAAAATCTCTCAGCATGGTCAGTTCTGCGATTGTCGTGGGGTCCGTGGACAAGGGCTGGTGCAGTGCCTCGAAGAAACGAAAGTGAAAAGGTGTAGGCATGGACAACAAAGAGAGCCGTCGGCTTCTTTTTATAAATCAGGGACATTCCCAGCCACTCGAGGGAGTAGATGCCAAGCGGCCTGGGGATTTTGCCTCTTTGCTGATGGTTGTTTATGTGTCTCTCTCCCTGCCTGGGTCACGTGGAAACCTGGGTCTTACTCGTCCTAGCATCCCTGAGCCTGGCACGGCACTGTCCCCTGCAGAGACACTGTGGAAATGTTCATGAATCAAATATCCCCTGGGCTGGGGGTGGGAGGAGCACTGTAACCATCCTCATACGGCAGCCAAGGTAAGCAAAAGGAAAAACCTCCAATCTCTCAGAACGCTGCTGGGGCACAGGAGGCCCTGTGCTGGTCAGATGGGGAAACGGAGGCAATGAGGTTATTTGTGTGTCTGGCTGCTTGGGAGAGAGGGTGTCCCCGCCTGCAGAGGCCACTGAAATCCAGAACTAAGGTAGTTCTCTCAGGCCAAGGAGGTCTCCTCCCCGTGCTCACCTCTAAGCAGAGGAGCCAAGAGGGTGGGGTGGCGGGGGACGGGGGAAGAGAGGACCAAAAGGGGGTAGAATAAGCTCTGGGCTTGGCCCTGGAGTGGTTCTCAGCTGTGGAAACATCAGCCAAGGACACGACAGCAGCCCCCACCATCACCCCTGCCAGGGTCCTGGGGAAAATAACCACCCACCCACTCTCCCCAGAAAACAGCCCAGAGACAGAGTCAGCACTCCCCATCTCACCCCAGGCCTGGGAGCATGCGCGCAGCCAGGGATGAAAGAAGGCTGAGAGTCAAGCCGAGACAGGACAATGCCTGCTCCTCTTACCCAGAAAATGTCCGAGGAGGACACTTGCTCTTTCCTCCTCATCGGGAGAGACTGGACCACCCCCTCTTCCCCCATCAAAGCCCATTAGGCTTGGGGAGCAGGCATGGCATCTGTGGGTGGGCCTTGTGCAGAACAGCAAAAGCCCAGTGGCACAGGACTGGTGAGCCTGGATCTGTCTACCAACCCCACCTTCAAGGGAAATTCCCAAAGGAAAAGCCAGAGGCCAGAGTTGGCCAACCAGCCTTCCAGAACTAGGTAATTCCAGGCAATTCTGGCACAAAGCCTTGTGCATCCTGGAGACCATGACCCTCCCTGAAAAACCCCACTGGGGACATGAGACACATTCACGAGGGGACAGGCCACAAGTAAGTAGGGGCCCCTCCCTAGCACACCAAGCCTAGGGCAGCCTGGCCTACGTGTGAGCCATACACACCCCGGCTAGTGACGTCGGGCTTCTGCGGGCACCAGGAAGGGGAGGGCCGCCCAAGTCACGTGACTCGGAGCTCTGTCCTCCCAGCAGCTGCATCACCGCACCTCTGCCCTGGCCTTCTTCCAGAAACCTCAGAGCAAAGAGAATCCTGAGGGCCAATTCAGCCAGTCCCCCGTCTCTGAGCAGGCATTGTCCTGTCTCATATTAAACATCCGGAGAGGAGGGCCTGGCCTTAGTGCTGTCCTCACTAACCAGCTCAGGAAGCTCACCAGCTTGGGAATTTATTCATTATGTCTAGCTTCAGTTTCTCCTGCTTCAGTTTAACTTGGGAAAGAGACAGAAAAAATATTCACTCATTATCTGTTTCCTAAAAATTGTCCTTCACATCCTTCCTCTTACCCCTTTATTACCTGATCGGGCTTCCCCTCTTCAGGCAAAATCTATTAGTCTATCTGCATTGCCTTTTGATCTCTACTTCAGTTACTACAACTTCAAAGACACCATTGTCCTCCCCAAGGTGAGGCCCATGTAGAGAAAGGAGCACTTCCTTGCTGAAAGAGAGGGTCAAGGAGCGACCCACATGGGCCCTCCCTGAAACCCAGGCCCAGGCCTGAGCCTGGACAGCTCCTTCCTTCCTGAGACCACAGCCAGCCTGGTTTCTCTGGGGCCAAGAGCAAATGCTTTGCTTAAGTGCTGAAATCTCAGCCCACTGACCCCTTGCAGACAGGAGAGGAAGGGAAGCCCAGGGAAGCTCAACTTCCCAAGTATCCCGGGTCTCTGCTGGGGCCAAGCGCCCCCACTCTTCCCCAGCCATCCTGCATTCTCCCTCCCCGGCACTGAACTTCTCTTCCTAAGAGACCAGTTCCCCCCACCAGTGCACAATGCACTATATTCTCCATTGTAAAAGTAAAGCCCTCTCTTGACACCCACCTTCTTCATTTGGCTCCAATCCCATTTATCTGCTCCCCTTTATAGCAGACCCCCTTGTCTGTTGCCTGTACTGCTGTCCCCAAGTCCTCCCATCCCCTCCCTCACCCTCAAGTTCCCCATCCAGCTCCAGTGAAACTGCCACCAGTGACCTCCCGTTGCTCAATCCTCAGCCCTCAGCCTGCTTGCTCTGCCAGGGGCATTGGTCATATTTGTTCCCTCCTTCCTCTTTGGGGCATTTTCCTCATTTCCTCCAGGGCACCCCGACTCTCTGATTTTCACTCTTTCTGTCTTCTTGGCTGGTTCCTAACACTGGGGGCCTCAGCGCTCAGTGGTTGGACCCCTTCTGTTCTCCATATCACTCCCTCCCTAGATGAGACCACCTGCTCTTGTGGCTTTAAATACCAGCTATATGGTGATAACGCCCAAAGTTTTATTTCCAACTCCAACCTCCGCCCTTAACTTTTCCCAACTGCTTACTCATCATTGATGCCTAATGGACAGCTCAGACTCCACAAGCACAAAACCAAACTCTCAATCTCCCCTAAGCAACTCCCATTTCAGTTCATGGCAGCTTCAAACCTCCAGAAGCTCGAGCCAAAACCTCAGAATCATATTTGACTCTACCTTTCTCTTACACCCCAAATCCTGTCGACACAGCCTTTGAAATATATCCCAAATCTGAATGTCTGGTTTTTTAAATTATTATTTTAACTACCTCTGGGCCATGGTGCAAGCCACCATGGTCTCTCCCCAGAATGACAGCAATCATCCTCTTACCAGGCTCTCCTTCTGCCCTTACCTTACTCCCCACGACCCATTCTCCACCCCACAGCGAGGTGGGCCTGCCAGACCCCAAGTCAGAGCAGGGGACTCCTCTGTTCCAAACCAGTGCTCCCATCATGCTCAGAGTGAAAACCAAAGCCTCCCAGCCCCCCAGATACTCACATGGCTCACCCCTCAACTCCTTATGACTTTGCCCAGCTCTCCTGGTCTTGGGGAAGCCTTCCCTGGCTGTGCTATATACAATGCAATACCCAGCCCCAGCACCCCATCCTGCTTCCCAGTTTTGTTTTACTCATAGCACTTCCCACCACCTGCCATGCCGTGTATTTACTTATTTCATTGCTGTCCATTCCTTTCTAGAATGTGCACTCCATCAGGGCAGGGAGTTTTGTCTGATTTTCCTATTGCTCTGTCTTGTGTCTCATCCAGTGCATGAATGATGATCGCCGGAATGAATGAAAGAATGGACGTGCTCTGCATGGCTCCGGGAGACAGAGGTGGAACCAAGGTGTAGAATCTGCAAGCCATAGATTTTAGCTAAAGAAAACAAGAGCTGCAAGGCACTGAAAAGCCACCTCACCAGTAGCAAGCTCCCCACCACTGGGCATGTGTCACAGAGGGGTTCTGCGATGGGTAGGAGGGAGGTGGGCTGGATGAGGATGCTTCCAGCCTCAGATCCCAGGGTGCAGAGAGGTAAAGGAGCCTTGAGTGGCCAACAAACTCAGGGGCCCCAGCAGCCTCATGGCTGAGTGATCGGGTCAGGCAAGTACAGGTGGTGGGGATGTCACTCTGGTCTTCTTCACTAAAGGGTTAGAGGAGGGTGACAGGGCAGGTGTTTCCCCTCTGTAGAACAAGGACCCTGGAGGAGGCCAGGTCACAGCCCATGGGGAAACCAAGGCCATGGCAGGAAGGGCTCAGAAAGAGCCAAGTCAGAAGCAGGGGTCCAGCCCCCAGCCCTCATGCAGCTTCAGGAGGCCCTCCCCAGGGGGATTGAGGTGGAGGGCTTTTCAGTGTGTTGGAATGAAAGCAGAACCAGATGGCTGCTCCATCAACTTGAGAAGCAGAGGAGAGCAAACAGACAGGAGATGTGGCCTCACAGGTCCTGATGTGGGCTGTCTGGGAAGGGATGGATTTAAACTTAGATCTCACACCCAACAAGGGAGAAGCAGGAGGCAGGAGATTCCCCTAAGAGGTGCAGACAGCAGCAGTAGGATCCTCCAGGCAGACTCGCCCACTTACACCCACCCACTCACTGGCAGGGTGAAGATGGGAAACTGAGTCCCACAGAGAGGAAGGAAACCAAAAGAGTTGCCCCCTCTGAGACCTGAAGCCCAGGCTCCTCAGGACTGCTCACTCCTGCCGGGGACCTCCCGCACCTCGAGATGCCCCCTTTCCGTCTCACTTCCCACCTACACCCCGGGACTCTCCCAGGAGAAACCGAGGCAACCCTTGCCCAAGCCCTGCGGCCAGGACGGCTCGGAAGCCAAGTGTTCAAGTCACG